ATATATGGACTCAATGAAATAGCCCCAAAATACATAAAGGAAACATTGACTGAATTTAAAGGAGAAACAGACAATTCCACAATAGTAGTAGGAGACTCTAACATACCACTTTCAATGAAGGACAGAACTAGAAAACAAATTCAGGGATGATACAGAAGATCTCAACTACACAATTAACAAGCTGAACCTCATAAACATGTACAAAATAAATTTTTCATGGGGCCTTCCCTTAGTAATCTTTCCCTTTCTTCTTGCCCCCTCCAACATTTCTCACTGTTTAACAGGCTATGTATTTTACTCATTTGTATATTCCTGCTTCCAAAAGGCACAGACTGCTGCTTCTTTTGTTCACTGCTGACTCCCCTTTTCACAGAACAGAAAGTACTCAAATATTTATTGATGAATAAATGTCACACAGTCTCTCCTACCCATCAATAACCTTTTGAAACTGTAAAGAATATTGGATATTTAGTATTAAATAATTTACAATAGCATTTAGTTTGACATGTAAAATAAATTTCTCTTTTAAGATTGTTGGGAGAAACATACTTTATAGCAGTTAGAATTTTATAACAATATATTTTACCAAAAATTATTACAAAGAAAATTATTTTTTTGGATGGATTGTCAGGCTGGCTATCATGTGGTGCAATGGGTGTACTCAGTGTTACTTAATCCATTAATTAAATTTCTCACTGGTACATTTGTATTGGGAGCTCTGGTGGTGTAGTGCTTCAGGAATTTGACTGCTGACCAGAAGGCTAGAGGTTCAAACCCACCAGCCACTCCTCAAAAGAATGATTGGGCAATATACTTCTGTAGAGATATTGCCTTGGAAACACAAGGAGGGGTTGCTGTGAGTCGGATCTGACTCGACAGCAGTGAGTACCTTTGTATTACTTTTATCTATTTACTTTTGTCAAGGAGCTTTGGTGGTGTAATGCCTAAGGCATTTGACTGCTAACCAGAAGGTTGGTGGTTCAAACCCACCAGCCACTCCTCAGAAGGAAGACTGGGCAATCTACTTCTATAACAATTTATTGCCTTGGAACCCAAAGGGGGTCGCTATGTGTTGGAATTGACTTGATGGTAGTGGATTTGGTTTTTAAATCATTATTCTAAAATATAAAGTGTCTTCTTGTTCACTGCATAGCAAGTAGTGCATAGTAGACAATAGATATAAATATGAAAAAATGGGTGAATTAATAAACATCATTCTCCATGAAGGCAGGAAGTATGTTAAACAAAGTTAATGATCAATAAATATTAGTTAAATGAATGTAGATGTGGGACCTGTCAATGAACATAACTAAATGACAACAATTAGCAAACATATCACTTCATAATCTAGCTAGTTTGATTATTCTATGGTGTGAGAAACAGAACATTGCAAAACAATTACAATTTTTTAAGTAATTTAAAAATTATATATCTAACTCTACGATCATACATGAAACAATGTCAGTTTCTGTTTCTCTAGTCTGCCTGATAAAGAAAAGCAACATCATCACACAATGAGGCATTTTAAAATGAGCACTATTTCCAGATAAATTTGGAGAATGTGTAGATTGAGGAATTCTATAGTATGGAATAAAATAATGTGGCTATAACACTGTTTTCATTAGATATAATGTGAACAAATAATTGCAATAATAAATTCTAGCTGACTTTCAAAATTGACCTGTGAGTTTTCCTTCATTTGTCCATTCATTTATTCAGCAAATGTACACTGTCTACAATCTACTAGACACTTTTACCAAGAAGCCAAACATGTGCCAGCTACCTATTTCTGTGTGGCTTGCTGGATCTTTATCAAGTCAATGCCTAACATGATGCTCCCTAATGGACACCACTAGCATAAGTTAGAGAAAGGATTATTGAATACAAACCATATTATACCAAGCAGAAGAGATGATTATTATAAAGGCAAGTAGCAGTGAGTATACTATATTGAATTGCCACCATGGAATTAAAAATAGCTATGCAAATTGCATCACTTAAGAACAAAGAAGGAAACAAATCATTATTTAAAACAAGGACAATGTATTTGAAGAGGTGCAATGGCAAGGAATACAGGTAATGTGCTGGCAATCCTAGCAATAAGTGGGAAATAATATCCAGGAATGGGAGGGTAAAATAAAAGGATTATGGAAAAGCCCCTACATCATAATGAAGCTATCACTGATTCTGTCAAAGGAATGAGGATATCCCCCATTTGAACCATAATTTGATACTTCTTTAAATTGTTATCTCTTCTCTAAGCATCTATTTTGGGGAATAGGATTGTTGCCAGTGTTTATCTATTTCCATTGAAAGACTCTGTTTAACCTCAATAGGAACAAGGCTAATATATATCTCTTCAGTTATGCAAGGACTAACAGAGGGGATCTATGCAATTTGTTACTACTTATATAATTTATTCTATTAATTATAGCATGCCTTGTAGATTGACACTCTAGGTACTATTCCTAGTAGCCTGTTCCTAATTCCAGCTCTTGTTATAAACATACCTTATCCTTATTTTCATGGCCATTGACTTCTAATCTATCAATGATATTTCTGATACTTACACTATATATAACAATCTCTATATGCTGGAGAGAGTCAATTTGAATGTAGTTTTACTTTTTGCCAGCACCTAACAACAATAACAACAATGTATGTACTGCACCTTAAAATCACTCTGCAGTCAGGAAATGAGTTCTCCTGCTTGATATTTAACACTGGATTACTTTGTCATGATTTGATGCATCATCACTCAATTTTTTCTGCAATATTTAATTGAGTATCATATGTGATACCTAGACTCTGTTTCTTTGGAGACCATATAAAGAAGGTAGGACGTCTTGCCCTTTTCCATTATAAATAATAAACTGACATATTGCAGAATGTAAGAAGAAAATCTTGGCTGGAAGGGAAACTAATCACTAACAATTCCTGTCAGAACATGAAAAGCAGAAATCTTAGCCTAGAAATTTACATAGAAGAAATATTTAAAAAGTGTTTTACTATTGTGAGTAAAGCCACATGGATATTGCTTCCTGGACATTAATATGGCCATATTGCACACAGGAATCAAAACCAGAGAACCTCTTTTGTCAAAGGCCCAGGGCAGTTAATAACAATCAAAGAAAGTAAAACAGATAATAGGGCTTGAATAAAATTGCTGAACCTTCCAACCAAGATCAAGAAAAAAAGAAACCATAATATAGAAAATCATAAAAGTCATAAATCTAACTTTGGTGTCACATTCTCACATATTTAAGGCAGCATCTTCAGCCAAGTCATCCGGTGGTTAAACTATTTAAATAAATAATGTTGTTGTTGTTGTTACGTGCCGTCGAGTTGGACCTGACTCATAGCGACCCCTCCTTGGGTTTCCGAGGCAGTATCACTACTGAAGTAGATTGCCCCATCTTCCTTCCGAAGAGTGGCTGGTGGGTTTGAACCACCAACCTTCTGGTTAGCAGTCAAATGCCTTAGGCACTATGCTACCAGAGCTCCTAAATAAATAATAAATGTATCAAAACATTGCTATAGACAAAGCCTTTTCCTAAATAGATGAGTGTTCTAACCAAAGTTAGATTTATGACTTTTATGATTTTCTAAGACTTCTATGCATTCTAAAGGATTTCAAAGTTCATCATTTTACTGTATCATCCTAAAAAGTCATTAATGAATATAAAGTTTCTTTCTAGGATATGTCTTATTCTTTCCTTTAACACTAAAAACATCCCATCATCTTCATGCCAAAGAATCAGTTCACTTCCTCCTAGGCTCTATTTGTACAAAGTGAGTATTTTGTTCTTCTAAATCAGTTAAGAAGTTTTAAGTCTTATCATGTAGAATATCAGACCTACAGAAGTTTCTATTTCATGTTAATCAATCTTTATTCCTTTTGTCTTTCCTTATTAATTTAACATAGCCTCTGTCTCCCAGGATTTGGAAGAAACACATTTTCAGGGTTATATATTTCTACTATGAGGATTTTCCTGAGGGATGATTCAGAGAATAATCAAATTAAACCCATTACAAGATTAAGAAAGTCCAAATTCATAGTTTTTACCTAAACTCTCCTACTTGTAATTTTACAAAAGGGAATGATAGGCAGTATAATGGGTTGAATCATGTCCCCAAGAAAGGCAAGTTTAAGTCCTAACCCCCCACACATGTGTATTTGCATTTTGATTTATTTGAAAACAGAGCATTCGCAGATGTAATCAAGTTAAAGTGAGGTGTATATATATATATATATAT